CTTTGCAAATCATAGCCAAGCTTCTGGTGTTTTTAAATTACTAATATAGTTTAAGCCATATTCAGATAACATGTATCGTGTATAACTATTTTTTTCCCATTCCTCAAAAATATCTTGAATATTAGACATGTTTATATTTCAAACACATAGATTTTATTAACTAAAACTTTTATTTAATAAGTATGAACCAACAACTGATCGATCTAGTGAATGATTAGTGAAGAAAAGGAGAAGTATACACTTCATAGATTTTTATTTCACATCGATATCACCAATTTATAAGAAAAAAATATTAATATAAAAATATATCTCTCAATTATGATCTCAAGAATAGCATTAGGAAAACGGCGAACAACTTGAGTCTCACGTATATGAGGGCCTAGTGAAAATTCTCTAAACTAGCGACATTTACATCACCACCCTGGACCCGTCTTCTGGCATTTATTTCTGAATTTCAGCTAATATTGCATCAATTTCAGCTAATATTGAATCCATTTTTATTGCCTGAGATGGCGAAGAAGCCTGCGTTTGGGGTTTTGGACTGTCGCTTGTCTCTGGTTCAGAGTCAGACTTTTCCGATTCTGTATTGCCTATAGCGTAATTATCACCTACATCAAGACAATCTGATTCTTGTCTCAATGCAATTCTTATAAGCAAGCTAAGATGCTGGGGGTCAAGTCTGGACCTCCATGGATTCTGGAAGCGTGCTTACTTCCATAATCTCTTAACTTTCCAGGTAGGGTTTTATAAGGCTCCTGCTTTAAGAATTCATTAAAAGGTGTATCATTACGTTTACCACTTTCAGTAAAGACAAGGTCATGTAACTTTCTAGCCTTAATTGCCTCTTGAATCCAGGTAAGCAATTCCCTTGCGCGTTCTGGATTCTTCTCCATGGAAAGGAGTGGTTTGAGTACGGGATTCTTCTTCTTTTCCCCTCTACTTTTTAGATAACCCATACAATACCAAGAATATCCATCTTTATACCATGCTGGAATATTCGAAGGGTCTGGTTCATAGTAATTGATCTGAAGAGATCTTACTTCCGCAGGTCTCATACTCAACATCACTATTACATCCACGAGATCCCCTTTAGTAGGAATTTTAGATACATCCATATTCTGAAGCCTTTTAGATACTCTTGCTAAGGAGAAATGAATGGGAATTCTATCTGGATTAGCCATTCGCTTCTTAGTTCATTTTCTCTAAATTTTATTGGAATATTGAATAAGTTCCCGATCTTTGGCCCAAGTATTAATAATTTTAGGATTTACTCTAGCTTCTGCTAATTTCACACGGAATTGTGACTGGCATGAGCCACTGGCAACTATTTCATTTTCATCTTTATTTTTCGGACCTAAGTCTAGATGATGAGCGAAAATGTCTATAACATCACTAGCTGTAGCGCAGTATTTTGCCCTTTTCTCTATAGTAAGTTTCCCCTTTCTTTTGTCTGGCAGGAGAGCCTCTATCTGCTCTTTGCTAAACGAACGTCTTGACTAGCCAGTTCTTGCAAGGGCTTCTTTAACACACTTGCAGGTCTTCCAATCAGAAATCAAAGCATCAAGTTTGGAAGCATGTTCAGCAATTGTTCTGGAGTAGAGCTAGCCGACAAATTACAATTTTTTAAAAACTTGTCTAGGATCAAAACATAGTTATTAGTTTTGGATTTTTGAGCCTTCTGAGTAGTAGTCATACCAATAATATATAATAAGTAGTTGTAATTGCTATCTACTTATACATACGTAAAAAAGTTCAATTCGAAAAAAATATCCCACCTGGGTTCTTCGATTATACAGCATTTCGAGAGATGTGACTGCTGAGACATCGCATTTTTGAATATCTATAATAAAAGTGAAGATGAAGTTTTGAGATTATTAAT